TATATATATATATATACACAGTCTTCTGCTGTTCTAATTTTACATTTAATTAATCTTATTCTTATTTTACAATTATATTTTTTATGGATCTTGTATAATAACATTTATAACAATTAAGGTGTGTGTGTTTTTTAACATAATAACAATTAAGGTGTGTGTGTTTTTTTTTCCAGCGAGCACACCTGTTCTTAATCCTTCATGTAGATAAAACAATGACAAGAAACATTTCCCAATCTTTGTATTCAGCAAGACTATCACAACGTAGCATATGTTTGTAGTGCTAATCTTCATTTGTGCCTAGGCTGGAGACACACAGCGCCTTATTCTACGACTGTCAAATGAATTCCCTGCTCAAGAGCAGAGAACAGATTGGAGACAACTTTTTAAGAACACCAGAAAATGTTTCCAATTAAGGGAAATTTCCAAAAAATGATGATCATACATTCTTTCCTTTCTGTGATGGCACAGAACTACACATGAGGTTGAGTATGTAAACCTGTTCTTGCCTTCTCTCCTTGACATATTAGCTGTTAAGGTCTGTTCACACCAGTGGGTGCTTGTTATGCTGCATATAATCTGAGATAGTGTGCGCTGTACAGGTGCTTGTTATGCTGGTGTGTGCTGTGCACCCGCGATGCAATACAATGTACCAACAGACCAAAGTGCTTACATTTTTTTAACTTTATTAAAATGTTACAAAAATACACTTCATTCAACTCTATGCACAATAGTGCATTGTGATTCCTTGACATGCATTGTAATGCATTTTTCTTGTATGGTGCGCTAAAAATTTTTTTAGGCATGCTGCATTTTTTTGCATCATACATTAACACACCTGTATGGAATGAACACGGTATGTAGAAAATGTTTTCTATGTTTCCCTTCATTGAGTCCCCTTTGATCGTTTTGATTATCGCAACTCAACTGTACCTGGTGTGAAAAAGCCCTTAAGGATGCATTGGTATAGAGGTGGAGCTTTGCAAATAAATGGGGAACTTAGGAACACCATAACATAGGAAAGCAATATGTCATGGACAATGTAATGGGCTGGGGAGGAAGGCCTGCTTCTACAGACAACCAATTACAAAGCTGTATAGAGCAAAGGCCGGTCAACTTTACGAAGAGCTCCAGGCATCGAAAAAACATATCCTTGCAGTGGGACTACCCCTGCACTGCAATGGTTACGTGCTTATTTTGTGTAGGGGATGCAGATAAAGCTGTTTTACTTACCTGATCCTGGGTCCTGTGGTGGTCAGCAATGGAGCTCACCTCCCTCCCCTTTCACTCCTGATGTTGGAATATCCCTCAGCATCTGCCCATCTAATGCAGGTCAATACACAGATGTTATGTCCTTAGACCACCATAGCGAAGAGGAGAAGAGGCTGCGAAGATCGATCTAGCAGCTTGGAGGAAGCCAGCAGGACCAAGAATCAGGTAAGTAAAAACACCTACAGGTATAATAGTGTGCTCTGGACAAAACAAACATTTAACCCCTGGAATATGGTGGTAGCTGCATGGGTACATTATTTGCCTGGATCTTAAATGATCATCTCCAGCCTTTGTTTTGATTTACCTACAGTGGGGAAGGATTACAGCTTCTGACAGCTTTTTACTGCTATCTGTGTCTCTGTTGGGGATATTACCCGTTATTATGTATATATTATGTAAATAAAACATATTTTTATACACAGTAGTCATTATATAATGATATTACATGGATATTTATGCATGGTAGGATTTAAACCCAGGACCGTACACTGCAATGAAGGAATGCTAACTACCTAGCCACTTAGCCATCATTAAAGCCGAATTCAACGCTGCTATTTAATAACATCATTTGATGCAATTACGTGATAATTAAAAATAATTAAATTCATTTTTAAATGCAACTAGTGTAAGTACTTGAATATGATCTTGATATCAGCATCTTGTAATCAGCAGAAGTCAGATCGGGAGAAGAAGCACTAGGAGCCAACAGGGTGTACTGCATGCAAATGTGCTTACAAGGAACAAGAAGAAAGGAAGAGAGATAAGAGTGGTGAGCAATTCGTCTGTTGCTTCTCCTTTAAGTCCAGTCAGAGGCTTGGGGAAAGGAGGTGACCGAGCTGTATAATCCAAGTTCAGAAAAGTCCAGTCACCCTCCTGGCTCTGCTGTCTTGCAGGGCTGTGTGGATCTCAAGGCTGGACAGAAATAAAAAGTTTTGGACAGGCAAAACACCTAAACGTATGGTTTTCAATTGCATGTTGAGCCCCAAGTTCAGCTTTTAAGGACAACTTTACCTTTAGGGAAGTTGTCCTTTTATATATCCCCCCCAAACCACTGATTGAAGCCCACCTGGGATAATACCTTCCTTCTTGATCCAGTGATCTTTTCTCCAACAAGTTCCTGGCTGGCTTCTTGTTATACTGCACATGCACACATAGCAGCAGTCTCACTGAGTATATCTTACCCATAGGAATTACTGGGGCCCCAATGAACATGTGAGTATGAAAATGAACCAGCCAGGACCATGCCTGAGGAAATATCGCTGGATCGGGGAGGAAGGTAAGTATTATCCCAGGTTTGCTGCACACAGAGAGGTAATGGGATTCATTAAAGGACATCTTCACTGATGGTGAAACTATGACAACGATA